AAATAACAAAATCCAGTTCCAAGATCTCAAAGCACCTGGCAAATGAGTCAGTAAAATCCGTTATCCTTAATGTCATCATAACTGGTAAAATATGGACAGAAAAGTAACCCTAAGCCAAGGTTTCTGTATGTGAAATATAATGAGGTATACTGCATACCAAAGTCACTAGCAACACTTTGTGAGACAGTCAGCAGGCCTCTGACCCCATACTCAAAGCAAACTTTTCAAAAGAACTTCATGTAATTTAATTCAAAGGCACTGATTTTATAATAAAGCCATATGTAAGGATGGGAGATTCTGGGTGGGGGAGACTCTGCTGAGATTTAGAAGTATCTCAGCTACGGCGAGCAATTCGACTTCAAATGTATGCTGCGTTAAAATTAAAAGATTAATGTTTGAAATTATATCCCAGCTGGAACAAAAATTAAGAAGAAACTGGTTACTATATCAACTGCCAGATCTGTGAAGAAAACTGGTTAATTTAGGTGTTGAGACCAATTCAGTGCTAGTAATGAACTGAACATGAGCTGTGAGCTATATTCTGATACACAGACCTTTCTTTTGATCTTGGTAGAGATTTGTAGAAAAAAAGGACATGTATTTACATCAGCAGTGCTATACTGACGAGGTTCTTGCACAACCACTGGGTCACTGTGAGATTTGTGTACATATATATTTAAAATCTGATAGGGTCTATTTTAAAAGTGAAAATATATTACAGCACTTGTTCTGGCTGGTTGGTGAAAATCATGAAAGTGTGACTGCCTAAAAAAAAATAGTAATAATAAAAAAGCAGGTACCAGGCTAGCAGGAAAAATACCTGCATGTTTAATATTACTGGCAAAAAGGATATTCCAAGGTCTGTTATTAATAAAAACAGCTTACCGCAAATATTTACTTAAGATGTTCCCCAGTCAATAGAAAAGAGAATGGAAAAAAACCTGGATGGTAACATCCACTTGAAACAAATATCTTGATGCGTGTATGCTATTTAGTTGGAAAAAATAATTAAAAATTCACGACGCAGCGATGCAGTTGACTGGCGTGTTCTGATGGGCACAGCTGGCTGGACTTGCAGAGGCTGGGAGAGGTCAGCGCTGCCTTCAGCGTGAGAATGATGGAAACACTACGCTCTTACTGCTCATAGACGCGTAGGAAGTTTCAAGCAGCTCTTTTCCAGATCAGAAATCCTTGTACATATGAGACAAGAGGTCACTCCCACTCCCAGCCATCAGAGGAGTGGAAATCCCAAAGTTGGGAACAGTCCCAGCTCCTGCTGTTGTCCGGAAGACAGCAGTCTTGAGCGCAGCTGGCGTCCATGCGGTGCGTTTGAGCCCATCGTTGCTTATGTCATACCTTCACCGCATTTAGGGATTCCTAGTCCAGAGTCCAGGTCCCACACAGATCTACCAACGAGGTCTTTCTGCTCACTCCAAAGACCTTCCCGCTGTATTTCCAAGAGGACTTTACCTGAACAGAGGCTCGCTGCTCTCTGGGAAGCATACGGAGTGAAGAATATCAGACACTTTGTGCTCAGTGCTGAGGCTCAGAGATGGAGCTTCTCCCTTGCTTGGCATGGGTGACCCTGACATGAGGACAAGGCCTGCTGAAAGCCCGTTGACACGGCTTGCCTGCTCTGGGGACACGCAGCCGGCTCGCAGGAGATCAGGGCACCCATAGACTTCAAGAGAACACTAAGCAACCTGCAGACCTGCCCTGAAGACAGCCCAGATGCTCCACACCTGCCCTGGTGCCACCATCTACCACATCTCCCCTCCCAGAACCAGGGTTAGGCAGATAGCCTCAGGTCCTCACGGACAGGGCTTGTTGGTAACCCAGGCTCCACCTTGCGTGAAAGGACCATGTGAACATGACATACCAAGCTCTTACCTGGTAAAAACATGAGCAGACAACTCTTCAGGTCAGCAGCTGTTTCAGCACTCCTCTCCAAGCAAACCCACGCTTAATTGTCAGGATCTTAGGCGTGTATTTTACTCTCTGAGCAACAAGCTGTACCCACCACCCACTGGAGGCAATCGGTACTTTGTGAGGTTCATGTCTGCGTTTGGTCTTCTGAAACTCAAAACATTATCTGTGAGCAGTGCAGGAAGCAATAGGAAGGTAGGACAACATTGGGTTTTAACAAGGACATGAGAAAATTGCTCCTGAAACATGGCAGTGCCGTGGCTTTGTGCTCTTTGGACTTGCATCAAAGCTATTGGGTTGAAAGCCAAGAGCTGTAGGTTAGACAAACCTCTAGTATTCACCGTCCCTGGGAAGAGGGGCTGCAGGAACCTCCCAGATGACATTGGGCAGCTTTTTAATATTTCTGGCTATTCAGGTCCAGAAAGGCTTTGTGAAGACCCTGCCACTGCTGAGGGGGATGGCCCATACGCAGCAGTGATGGCTCAAGGAGAAACAACTCAAAAAGCCCGACAGCCTCCGTCCGCTACAGCCGTCTTGCTTCAGCGGGGAAAAAAGGAAGGCACGGTTCATTCTCTCCATCGAGGGCCATCCTGCGAGCACTTCTTACCTTGGCTGGAAACACAGTACAAACACTCGTGTTTCTCCACGTCCTAAAGTCTGTTTTGTGGAACAGGACAGAAATAGAGATAAAAATGAGAGTACAGGAGCCAGGTAATGTAGGTGATGAATGCGACTCTTGGAACATCTGTGGGAACTGATTTCAAGTGGGGCCCATTTGTTTAAAAGCTAAAGAAGTTTAGCAAATGTCTAGACGACCGAAGCAGAGTTGTGAAGCTCCAGCTGGATTTTCTGCTGGCGTCCAGCCCACCCACCGGCGTGCTTTATCAAGGACAGCGAGCAGAACGCAAACGCAGCAGATCCCTCCATTTGGATGCTGCTCTGAAACACACCTTAATATACAGAAACCTCTTGTAGAGTCTGGAAATGCCCCACCATTTCCAGTACTCCCTACTTCAGGCAACCAGTGCAAAACCAACCCCACCAACGCAACTCTTTTGATGGCCCATGCGAGAACTCCATGAGCCTGCAAAGGACTAGGAACGGTGCAGAGACAAACGGTCTCAGGGAGAGATGCAAGAACCAAATGTGCAGAGACTCAGCTCTCCTCCTCTTCGTCCCTTCTAGGTACCTCAACACCTGGTGACTGGTGGCAAACACCCACGAGTGCTGCCCGCTGGGCGCCACTTTGCCAACAAGGAAAGGGGCAGCGCCGAGGCACCGGAGCAGCGCACAGAGCGAGCTGCGAGCGCGCGGCTCTTCGAGACACCGTCCTCCGTCAGCCGTCGTCCTCCGGCTCTGGCGTCTCTGCACCTCCCACAGCATCCTCACATCATCGGGGCGGTGAGAGCTTCCTTCATAGAAAACACAAAGCACGCAGCTAAAAGATATTCACTTACAGTTTATTTTTGCCTGAAATTATTTCACATCTCTTTGTACACAGCTACAGAACAGTAGTAGTAAACCATTGGTAAAAGCAACAGTGCTAAGGAAAATGTTGGCATAATTTTTCTGGTTTTTTTGTTTGTTTGTTTTGTGGTTTTGTTTGTGGTTTTTTTTCTTCTTTCTTCCCATACTGCATCCTCACACAGTTTGGGATTTGAAGGGGAAAAAAAACCTGGCACACTACATGAGACTCAATTTCTGTTTCATTTATTTTTAAAAAAAAAAAAAGAAAAAAGAACATGATTTGGGTAGGGGTTGTCTACATAGCAACAAAGTTTAAAAAAACAAAACAACCCAAAACAAAAACAAACGCTTGGCTTCCATTGAATAAGATTAAATATATATATATTTATATATAAAAAATTACATTGGCTGTATGTGAAACCTTGAGGTGCTGAAGAATAAAATAAAGGTGTTAAACAGAGGCAAAACTTCTTTTTGGTGTTTTTTTTTGTTTGTTTGTTTGTTTTAAATAAGCAGCTCTGTACAATGAAGGCTCATTATGAAAAAAAAAGTCAACAGCATAGTTATAAAAGAAACCACAATTTTTAAAAAATTATCTTCTAAGCAATTGTGGAATTTGAAAAATGTAGCAGTCACATTTACAGACAGGTCAGAGCTATCGGATC